TATCTGAAGGCTTTTCCTTGGCCACACCATATAAGATGTCTTATTGTCACACCAAGTTTTTTTATGTAGTTTCAAATTAAATGATCTTTTTACCATATTCTTTACATTATCTTATTTAAGATATTTTGTAAAGAAAAATGCTAGTGATATTAAATATTTATAAGTGCATCAGAATTCATGAAAACATATCCTAATCCCTTTCTTTGTTTTAATGATGGGGTGAGTAACTTTGTGCTAGATGTCAGGCTATGAAGACGTCCTCTGCATAGGGAATGATGTTAACCATATGGCCTATTCACAATCAATTGAATTGCAAGTCATAGCAGTTACTACACTTTTAAGAGATGCCTGTGTTGCTTTCCATTAGCTCACTAATGTGACATTTATGAAAGCTTCATAGTTGGGCATCCTTTCTTGACCACATGTAAGGGCACAAGGAATGAAAGCATCAGTTAAAAGTTTCAGGTGTAGACAGTTATCATTTCTAAAGTAGTCTACATTCTGGGTGCCATAATTATGTTGGAATTTTAGGGTAGTCTTGTATCCATCCATGTTTACTAGACCCTGACTAGTAATATTATTCAATCTTACTCATCAGGCAAGAAGAAGACTCTTTCAATTTATTACTAGGAAATGATGTTAAAGTTTAAAAAGGAAAATCCACATTTAATCTGTTAAACAATAGCAAATTTCTTCTGAACCAGTGATACTGTAATTGAACTGGAGACATTTTTAGAGCAAGCTTGCTTTGGCTTTTTCACCCTCCGATTTGGAATCTGCTCACAGTACTGCCAGCTTAACCAAAAAGGATTAACTCTCATATCCAACTGAGAACACAGATAATTCTCAGTAATTGGTAAAAAATGAAGATGAATGGGGCTGAGAGATAAGGAGCAATTAGCTCATCAGCAGTTACAGCTGTGCACTCAATCGGGATCCATCTCTTGAGTCTCGGCCCCTTTTAAAGAACCTAAGCAGACTAAGCACAGGACACCCCTCCCCAAAAAACTGCTATACCTGCCCATCATTTCTCTAGTCTTCCATTCTGTTCCTCACTATACAAAGACACCTGTCATAGCATGGTATGTAAATTACTACCTCTCTTAGGACCTATGTCTAAAGCCAATCTTCTTTTTAAACTTTTTTTTTATAACAGAAACCAAATGACTACTGTAGACACTCTTAAATTCCCTGTCAATCGTTTCATTATAGCAGCATCATCTGTTTGAAAATATAAGCAATTCCCTCATCTAATTATAGGAAGGATTTGAGGTTCATTAACATTGCCAAGGCAGGATCCAATGTGCAACTGCAGAGCTCTGCGTGGCGGCGGCCTGGCTCTCAGTCTCCTCTTCTTTGCTGTCTCCAGATCTCCAAGACTTCTTCCTGAAATCATAAACTCACTCCTCTCTCCCAAAATAGACATGTGTGTTAGAAGAAAGGAAATGACTTCGGGGTGAATTAGTGTATTTCTGCAGGATATTCCTAAGGTTATTTTTCCTGTTTCAAGGTAATGGGATGCTCAACTAGGGAAGATATTTTGTCTCCCTCTGTGCTTGGACTTTTTGTCCTTTTAATAAATATGTTTTGTTGGTTGTAGGAGTAAAGTAAACAGGGGTAGAAAGACTAAAGAACATTCTCAATCCAGCTCAGGTTCTTACTTCTGCTTGAAACTCCTGCATCCTGTTAACCATTTCAAGTTTGAGAAGAATTTCAAAAGAATCCTGTGCTTCTTACACATGACATTTGCTCAGCTTTGTCTGAACTAGCACAGACTTGCCTATATACTACAGGATTCAGAAAGACAAAATACTGAAGTTGTGAGATGACTTCATTTCCTTGAAGTAATAACAGCAGTTAAGGGGTTATGACTATAGTTTAAACAATGAGATTTTTCTTGGGACATCTGTTTTGAGATCACATTTTGAATAGATATGAACTCATTTCCTACGAAGCCAGCAATCTACTATTGTTGATAGCTGTTTACCAGTTCTATGAGTCAGATATTAGCCAGTGGCAAAGGTCCCTCTCGAATCCTCTGAGTATTTTCTAAACTGTGTACACAGTGTTTTCCTGAAATAAAATGTTGAGAGAAGAATGTATTCTTTTCTTGACTCTTAGTAAATTATGGTTCACAAAACTTTGTACTTGGGAATAATATTTAATGCATTTATTTTTAAAGGCGTATTTCCTGGCATTTTTAGTAAGGGGAGTAAGAAACTAGGTTTAGCAAGTATTTGTTTAGATAACATAGCTACTCTGAGAGATGCTTTTTGTGTCAATATTTAGATAGTATTTCAAAACTTGAAGTAAAATTAAGGATCTGTTATTTAGATTAAACAAATTGTGATGAATTTAGTATCCTCAAAGATGAGCGTAATGTCAAAAGAAAAGATAAACAGATTTTAAAAAAGAAACAGTTATGGATTCTGTCAAATTGACCTTGAGTTTGCTGGTTTTAAATTTCCCCTCTCCAATATCCTAGTTCCAATTTGCAAGCAGCATTTTTAAGCTGGTTATGCAGATCAGTTGCTAAAGAAGAAAAATAGTCATTTATCTGGCCTATATTCTGTGGAGAGTGTTGCCACTAAAAAGAATCCAGGACATTTTTCCTTCTTATCTGGAATGTAGCTCATATCAGCCAACCTGTCACCAGATAGTACTTGATATAAACAAGAGATTGCTAAGACATCTCAGTAATCAATATCAGGATAGCTACAGTATGGAAACCCCAACCAGTGCATATCATTTGTCTCAGTATCTATTTCTATGGCCAAATGAAGCATTAATTCAAATCATAAATCTATGGTGATTTAAATCTGGGAATGAGCACCTGCCTGCTTTAATGATTTATTTTGTACATTTCAGTAAGCAGGAGATTTGTCCATATGAACTGACAGGTCACCTTCAGATGCCAGGAGCAGACTGTTTATCACCATGCAGACTAGCATCTCATCTTAGCAAGTAAATATTAAACTAAAAGAATCCAATTGATTGTGGATGAGGGAGAACGGTGATGTGGCCATATATTTTACTCAACAAGCTGATGCCTCACTTGGATCTATCCTGAGTTCCTCAAGCAGTCCTACAGTCTTCATCCTCTTGAAAAGATTCAGAATCAAGGTTATCACTTAAAATTGGAATTCAAAATAATTATTTGTCAACATCAAAGATGTCTAAACCTTGTTATTTTTTTTTCTTGGCTAATTTTTAAGACTCATTATGAACCAGTGAAAACCATCTTTCACAGGATTATCTAGTCACCTCATCAAGCCAAATACAGCCAAGTCAAGCAGAAACAAAACCTATTTTCTTGAGCCACAGGGATTTATGTATAACCAGGGAACTGAAAACGGGCACCCATAAAGGAAAGCCTAAAATGTATGTCTACCCCTGTGAGGTTAGTGAACAGAAGTCATGTGAAACTAGAAATGTCCCTAGGCGTGGGCAAAGCTAAGTAGTAAGAATACATCAAGGCCAAGCAGAATCTCTGTGCAATTTGTCACTCCTGTAAAATCTCTACTTGTAGGCAGGTTCACAAAAGCAGTGAGGTTGAATCCTGAAGCATGGGCTAAAGATTCTTGGGATTTCTTCTAGCATTCCAATTCTTCAACTCCTCTTCCTAGCCACTCTACAAAGACAGATACTCCTGATATTCCCAGAGTATAACACATGTCCTCTTGCTGCTGTAGGCCAGTCGTTTCTATTAACACTTTAGTGACCCTTGCATACTGGGTGTGCATTTGATCACTTTTGTATTTTTAAAATGAGCTGAACTCCACAGTTTAACTAAGTACAAGGGAAGATGTTTCCAAGTTTTCTCACAGCTCTATGGCTTCAGAAGCAGCCTGTACCCAAGACAGGAGGGATGCAAAGGGGAAAGCTGCTGCTGATAGCAGTGAAAAAGGGAAGAAGCTGATTTACAGGAGGGCAATTTAAGGGAACTGTATTAGCAAAAGACCAAACTTCAAGTAAACAATGTGAGAAGCAGACATAATGAATAACGTACTAAACACTCAGCACACATGGTTTAATTATAACACTGTGGCATTTCCCAGTTGTCTTGAACTGTTAAGCTCAGAAAGTCTACATAACTTTTCAAAGTCATAATCAAATTGTTATTGAGCACTTAACAGAGGCAGGAATTGTCTTCAGAGAAGCCTGGAGCCACAGAAACTGCTCTGTTCAGCAACTTCTTTGATCTATGCAGTTTGCTTTGACCTTCACTGGGTTCCTTTCTCCTTAACAGTCACTCTCCTTCTCCATAATACTCATTTTTTATACTTTCTAAATAAATATCCAAGAGTAGAGGTTTTGATGAAAGGCAATAGGAATTGCAAATTCTTAGACAATTGTGGCATATAAAGAACGGAATGAAAATGAAAACAGAACTCCCCAAATAAGCTAAAGGGGCCCAAAATATAAATGATGTGTGTCCCTTTGGCTCTAACACTCCACTCCAAACACATCTCTAAGTATCAGTCTTCTAAGAAGACACAAGTGAGTGTTTCTCTTGGTTCAAATGGATGTAAGTAAGATGGCTCATACTATGCTATAACACTATAGCGAGCTACCAACGAATAAGAAATGTTATTTTCCCAACTGAAATATAATGAGATATTTAAATTGTTTATATTTTAAGACATGATAATAGCCTAAGTACCTAAATAATTAAAGGGAGTTGCAATTTGGTCACTAGGTAAACATTATTACATACTAAAAATATGAAATGCATGTTAATGCTTAATTGTGAGTCATTTGCTTCTTAACTTCTGCCTATTTGTTTTTGAAAAGCTAACTCCTGCTCATCTGAATTAGGAGATGCTTTGTTTTGAATAGGTCCCTTTAAAAGGTATTATATTGTCCCTCTTAATCCCTACTTCAAGTATCTTCTATCAGGAATGGCTTGGGTTATAAGTCTCTTCTGAAAATTTAAAAATAATCCAGGTATAGTTTGGAATAGTAACTATAATTTGTGAGTAGATTTTTTTTTCCTATGGGAGAGGACATGAACACAGTCCTCAACTACACAAAATTATGCAGTTAAAAGATTCCCTCATTTGGGACATTGCAGACATCAGCATGTCTAAAATTCAATGGATTAGCCTTGCTCTAGGAAAGGCACCTTTCAAGATCTTGGTATCTCTCTGCCAAATAAGCACTGATAACTTATTTTTATAAGTGCTGCAAGTTGGCCTATTTCAGTAGGCAAAGCAAAGGAGTTTTATTTTAAGACCGTCTATACTTAGTTCTAAAAAAGAGAGCATTGTAATTCTTTGATTTTGCTTCAGTGTTGGTGTGACATAAGGTATAAAATGACTTCTCCCAACCATGAGCTAAGCAATTCTCTGCTTCCTCATCTTTCTCTCTAGGATCCCAAGCATGCAAGCACTGGTACATATCTGAGCTGATTAGTTGTAGAATCATCATTTCCTACGGTCCTCCATGTTTTCACTGCTCTGAAAATAGCCACCAGAAGCTACTCTCAATTCAGATGTCTTCACCAGGTCCTACTGAGAGATTCTATTCTTCCCACTTGAGCGTCAGAAATGGCCCTTTTACCTTCATGGATGAAGTGCTACTTTGTGTTTGTATGTATGTTTCATATCACTTGCTACCCTGGCATTCCTTTTTGGTGTGTGCTTGTGAGGAACTGCAATGAGATGATAATTATTAAAATTCATATTTCATCATATGCCTTTAAGTACATACTAATGGGTAGAAAGCAGAGAGCTATTGATTAACTTAAGAAACGGCATTAAAATTATGATGAATTTCTGTGTTCACTTTGAGCCTTGTTGGGCAGGATAACATGCATGTTTCTTTCAGAATACAATTTTCTCTTGCTAAATTATATATTGAGCATAAATTCTGTACTTTTATGGAAAATATTAGTGGTATAGTAACAGAATGAAATGTTTTGCTACATCAACATCCAGATGACAAATATTTCATGGATTAAAAAAATTAATCCACATTTAAAGCTGCATTCAGAAGCCAAGTGGTTAGTCATTGAAGGTCAATGTGTTTCATTTGGTTTCACTGTGAGTTAACAGAAGGGATGGCAGACGATCAAGAAAAGTTAGTATTATTATTTTCAAAAGGGAGATATCTTCACAGTGATGTGGGTAGAAGGAATTATGAAAAATAATCCACATTTTGGGCAGTGTAGTAAAGGCCTCAGTTTCCATCCCCCCCATCCACAGTTTAGATCTGTGTGGTCTTCCTTGCCTGTGGTAAACAGTATTCTGAACTAAGATTGTTAAGTAATCATTTATGAGTTTTGCATAATACATACATTGTTTGGGATCAATTATATTATATGCCAAAAAAGTAAAAGATTTTAGTAACTCTTAGTACAGTATATTTTGAAATTGTCATTTTCGTTATCACCTATTGTTTACAATCTCTTAAAATACCCAATCTGTAAAATGAAGTACATTATACGTATGAATGTACCAAAGCAGAAGTGGTTTTCTTTATTATCCATGGTTTCAGACAATGGACCTGGAATGTACCCTGTGTGAATGAGAGAAAGCTCATGCATAATCTCTGCTGTTGATGGAAATGGATTTCTTATTTTATAATAAGTGCATTAAAATGACTTTTTAAATGACAAGTAGGATTGAATACACACATATTTCTGTCTAATTACTTTTACTCAAAATTTTATAATTTTGATTCTTAAAACTCATTTGTGATTATGAAATACATCAATTCACTACTTGTAGCATACACGGCAGTTGTAAAATTGATTCTATATTAAAAGTCATAACTTTGCCAGCTCCCGAGTATATACATATTCGAGAGACAGAAGGAAGAATTAAAAATATGCTCCTCTCTTGATCTTAAAGCAATCATTTCATCAATGGGTAGCTAGTGGTTTTATTCTGGAGTAGACGGTAATTCTATGGAAAAGTGAATGTGAATAGTAGCAATGAACATAAAACTCACCAACACTTGAATTCATATCCCCATTTTCAGAATCTGCTCCATGTTGGTTGTTACTGGCGTGATAGTTGCTCATTGCTTCTAATTTGATTTTTTTCACCTTCATTGCTTCAGCAATCGCTGCATTGGTAGCAGCTGCAGCGGCTGCAGCAGCTGCAGTCAGACCTTTAAAAAATAAATTAAAAAAAGTAATCAAATTCAGACTTTTTTTGTATAATAGTCCATTTCTTTCCATAACATGTGCAAACATATGTGAGAATATCTGAGTCCTTTGTGTTATACTGATAATATATTTTCATTCCAAACCAGCCCATGCAGCATTGACACAAGGGTCTAAATCCTTATAAAACTCTCTACTTAAATATTAGCAGAATCATAACTCATATATTTCATAGGAGTAGAAATGCGGCCTGAATGAACTTTCAGAGACACACAGCCTGAACATTCCACTCCCTGCCGAGCATCCTCTACAGGTGGTAGAAAGTTGGAACTGCAGAGTCAGTCTTTACTTACTTCCAGCACCCACGCAAGTCTCCTTCCTTACTGTTGCACAGCGCACCCAAGCTTTGATGGATACATTGCCATTTCTCACACATGGTCTGCAGCATCAACCTTCTGCTGTCCTGTATGACTCACTTCCATGACTGCCCATCTTCTAGTGAAATTCTACTCATACTTTGGAGTCTTAAGCCACATCTTCCCTGGCTGAGATGACGACAGCTTGCTCCTCATCATCAAAAGGACTATGTTTACATTACTGTTACGGTCACCGCTACACTGCACTGTCCGTGGGTCTGCCTATGCATCTCTTTTCCTTGTGAGGTGGTGAGCTAGTCAGTGGCCGAGGCCATCTCTATGCATAGCTAAGTAGCTTAGCTGCAGGGTTCAAGATTTTTAAGTCTTACTGCAACTTGATAGCCCATGGCTGGCTGAAATCCATGAGAAGCCTGCCCTTATCTGAAGAGAAAGGAGGAGGAGTGGAAGTGAATGTTTACAGTGGGAGGGGGAGCTGGGAGGAGAGGCTGGGAAGAGAGGAGGGAGGCAGCGAGGGGAAAATGTAATTGGGCTGGGCGAAAATTAAATAATTAATTAATAAAAAAGAAAATACAAAGCCGCATGCCTTTAATCCCAGCACTCAGGAGGCAGAGCCAGGTGGATCTCTGTGTCTCTGTGAGTTTGAGGCCAGCCTGGACTACCAAGTGAGTCCCAGGAAAGGCGCAAAGCTACACAGAAAAACCCTATCGCAAAACCAAAAAAAAAAAAAAGAAAGAAAGAAAGAAAGAAAGAAAGAAAATACAAAAATAGTAAACACAAAACAGCAAATAATTTGCTTCCACTTATTAAGCCTATGAGTACTGGTTTCAGTGGCCCAAGATAAATGTGATCACCTTAGTAACCCCGTATTACTGATCACTATCACCTTTGCTTTACAGATTATGGAATATAACACAAATTCTAAAAGGCTATACTTAAGCCCAGAGTGAGCGTTGTCCCTACTTTGTCTTATAGGCCCTTGTCATTCATGGATGATACTAGACACGCACATAAATTTAGACCTGACACAAAACAAAGGAGCTTGAGGCCAGCTTTTGAAGATCAGGATGCTAAAGCCACTGATGATCTGAAGTTCAATTATACAGATAGCAAGGAAAGGATTTTGAACTGAAAATGTATTCTCTTCTCAGTATGTCAACTTTTACCAAGTTTCATTTCACCATTCCTACCTGGCATGGCCCATCTGCAATGTGGGGAAAAAAATGAATATTGTCTCCTAATTCTAGAACTTTAGCCATCTAGGAGAGGAGACTGCGTCTTTCCCTGCACTCATCTTCTTTTCACACCGCTGCTTGAGAGATTCCGAGCACGGTGTTCCAACCTTCTGAATTTATCTGTGCAATTTATTTCCACTCCCAGTTGGTAGAGAGAATGAACTCCCTCATTTTTCTTTCCTCCCCACCAATCATTACTCCTAGTTACCACAGCAAAAAGCTGCTGCCCATAGAATTACATGGAAGTCCTGGGAGAAACCTTTGCTATGTAATCAGTGCGTAGAAGACTCCACCTTCTTCTTAGATCAGTGCAAAGAGGTCTTGACCACGTTCACCCTAATGCAACAAGATCTGCAGATCAGATCTTTGCTCGAGAAACTCAGAACCACTCCTTAAAAGGCATTGATCTGAATTCAAAGAATCCATCTGGGTTTAGCACAGGCATTCGCTGCCTTTTAAGTCCCAACTTGAACAGATTCTCTCATCTTCCTATGATTGAATTTTCTCCTCAATTACTCATTTCCTTCAAAGATGTTTCAGAACATTTTCTTTCCTGTTCTCTTTAAATCCTCTTTGTGATTCCCAGAAAACGTTTCTTTCCTTGATGTTTGCCTTGTCAGCAATGTGAACATCTTATCTGTCCCTGTCCTCTATTTCCTGGTGTTGACTTGGGACTAATTTATGTCTCTTTTCAGCCCTACCACTTGGCTCTATGCTATAGGAGGATCTAGAAACTGCATTCAAAATATGAAGACTTAAGATATAATTACTTACTAGCCTACAAATTTCAAATAGCACAACGCTTAATCATTCAGATCTAGTCCTAGGAAAACCAATGCTTTTTTTTTTTTGAGAATAGTTTCTTCTTCGGAAAAACCATTCTGAGGCCAAAAGGAAATATAATGATCCAGTAAGAAAACTATACAAAGAATAACCCATAATACTCAATATGGACAAGGAGTATTGTATATACTTATTCTTCTGCAAGCAAAATCCAAGTGTTAACTTTCAGTAGGGAACTTTCTTTACCTACCTAGTCCCTTATTTTAGATTATTTATATTTATTATATTTATCTTAACCTTCAATTATTGTAACTACTTTTAGTAATGTTATTATATTCAATTCTTGCACATTTGTTTGAAACTTTTTCCAAGTTTTACAATTCTAATAGAAATCCAAGACGTGTATGTGTCACAATCAACCATACACACACATGCACATGAGTGCATGCATGCTATCATCTGAGTAACATACAATTTAGCCTTCTAAATTTACCTAAGTTTTTTTTTTTAAACCACAGGTAGGAAATTAGGGTATATGCAGCAATTACAAACTTTTGGTTCTAATAATGCTTCTTGTATTTGTATTTGTTTTTTTCTTTTTTTGCATCTTAAATTCAACTAAATTCCTCCATGTCCACTACCACTACAATTGCAAACTT